TTGATGGAAGTGTTTTGGATTGTGTGTGAAAACACCACACTGTACCCCAGAAGTGCATTATTTTACACAGTTATCATTCAATAAAAAAAAAAGAAAGAAAGAAAGCTTAGACCCTGAAATGCACTTTAACCAATGAACAAATGCCAGAAATACCTACCTATAAACTTTTTGTTTAATGAGTTCATTAACTGTCTGTTCTGGTATAAACCAGTTTTAGTTGGGTATTTGTTTTACTCCTCCATCCAAAAGCACCCAGACTAATTCAGGAGAGTGGGTCTGGGTAAGCAGAGGTGCAGGGTGAGGGCCATTATAGGAAATGACCCGTCAGCTATGGGTTGTGCCCATGGAGAGAAAGATTGGAACAGAGATGGAGACCAGACAGCCCTCCTCCCACCCCCAGGCCACGCCTCCTGCTGTGGGCCATGTGTCATGGAAAGAGATGTGTTCCAGGGTCCTCTAGAACGTCTCACATCTTTGAGTGAAACAGTCCTCAGAAGTGTTAAAGGTGAACCTTAGAAGTTGCAGAGTTCAGAGAATTCAACCAGTCAGCCTTATCAGGGAGCAGGAAAGCAGAGGGGTCCTGAGCTCAACAGGCAGGTCCCAAGGCAGTCTCCCTCCCTCTCTCCTCCCCCACCCAAAGACACTCCCCCACTCCAGTCATGGTTTGAGGAGAGCACCCAAGTGCAGGTGAGGAAATAGTTTATAGTCTTTCACTCTGGGAAAACAAAGAATTAGAATCATTCTTGCAACAACATTTATTGCCCACTGACTCTTCCAGGGGGTTGGGACATAGCAGCAACCCCAACAGACAGCGCCTCTCCCTGCAGAGCTCACTCGGCCTTGGCCCTGGAGGGTCTTTGTCAGGAGGGGCTCTGAGCAGCATGGAATGGAAGAAAGCAAGAGCCATTGAACTTCCACAGTTACCAAACAACCCACTCTAGGCTGACGTCTACCTGCAACATCCAGACTTCACAGGGAGGCAAGTGCAAAGCTCTGGGCTGAGGTGAGGGCTCAGGGGCAGGTGACTCCCACCCACAAGCCAGGAGACAGCACTTCCTCCTGCATTCAGCGAACAGGATCAGTCCTGCACCAGCAAGCCCTTGTTTCCTGCTCACTCTGTACAGGACACTGTGATAAATTCAGGATCACCTGTGACTCAGCTGCTCTGGATGAGCCTTCAGAACAGCTTCTGACTCAGCAGCAGAGAAATGCAGAAGGTGTATTTAGCAAACACCTAGTTTTCAGAGTGCTTCATGGTGTCCTTTCTGAGCAAGATGGATGGGCCAGCTGGCTCCCTGACATTTCACTTTAATTCCAGATCTCTATACTTTCCCCCTCTCACAGGGGCTGGAGGAAACAGCCTTTGTGAAAAATAGAAGGATCTGGACTATAAACCAGAAGAAATGAGGCAGAGATGAATTGTACTGATGTGAACTCAGTTATATTTTTCCTGTCTCTTTCAATTTCTATCTACCTCTCTTTCTCTATCTCTATCTCTCTATCTCTGCCTTGCTCTCCTAAAAATAGTCTTGGCAAAAACAGTTTACCACCAAAGCCATCACTAGGAAATGCAAATCACTTTGAGCTGCTGATTCTTTCTTTCCTCAGCTGTTTTCTGACCTGAGTCTCAGGGTCTAGCACCTCTCTACCTGGGTCTACCTGCTGGGTCTGACCTGGCCTTTCTTGCTTCCAGAGTTGCATTCTTCTGCTTCACCAAGACCATCTGTCTTTTCTCATCTCTCCCCACGAATTTATGATGTCTATTGCCACCACAATTCCCAGTCTCTGCAGGATGGGCTCCCTGTGTTCCCCAAGTCAAGATAGCCTCCAATCTATTTGGGGTGACACTAGGAAGCACCCCTGGAATGCGTCACATTCAAAATCATAGAATGCAGACCTATGTACAACCACGCTGCAGGCAATAGCAGAGTCCAAGAGGCCCAGAGTTCCCCAGGAAAATCCTTGCAGTACCTAAGTCAGGAAACTGAGGAACAAGGAAAGCAATCTGCCAAGATCTCACAGCTGGATCACAGCAGAGCAAGAATCAGAATTTCCAGTTCAGTTC